CCAGGAAGGCAGGTGGTGGAGGGAGGATCCCATAAGGCACCACCAAGTCAGCTGTCAGAATCAGGGTGGAGGGGTTAACCAGTTGGGTCTGCAGATGGGATGGGGGTAGGGGTAGGGATAGGGTTGGGGCAGGGGTCATGAGACTAGACCCTGCCTAGCTATGACTCTGTGATATCCCCTTCCCAGTGAGATGGCCTTGGGGCCTAGAAAGACAGACTGCAGCAGCCAGGGAGCGGTTGAACAGAAAGACAGAGCCCTAGGGCGCTAGAGGAACAAAGAGGTGGGCGGGGCCAAGGAAGAGTGGGTGAAGTCTGCAGAGAAGACTGGAGGGCATGGAGAGGGTGGGGAGGGTGGACTCCAGCCCTGAGGAGAGGCAGGACGGAGAGCAGCCTCTGGGTGAGGCAGGGGGCTTGGAAGCTGAGGAATGGAATGTGAGGCAGGCTGGGTTAGAGGGTCAGAGTTTGCATCCAACGTGCTGGTGTGTGGAAGGACGTGCCAGGTTGGGACAGCCATGGGGCACAGAGCAGCTGAGAGGGATGAGTCAGTTAAATGTCTGGTTCCAAAGTTCTGGCAGAAGAAAGAGGAGAAGGAGGAGGAAGAAGGGGGATAGAGGAAGTAGCTGGGCAGGGGAGCCCTGAAGCTCCTATTCTCAGCACTAAGGGACCCACAAGGCTCCCCACTGTGCAGCTACGCAAGAACCTGATGTGGGCCCCGCTCTGGTGGTGCAGGCTGGTAGGATATGCTGAGGAGGCAGAGGCAGGTAGATCTCTGGGTTCGAGGCCAGTCTGGTCTACAGAGTAAGTTCCAGGACAGCCAAGGCTACACAGTGAGAACCTGTCCCAACAAAACAAAACAAAAAGCCAGATGTGTTGGCATGTATCTATAATACCAGCTCTCCTAAGGGGAGATGGGGAGTCAAGTATTCACGCGGAGAAACAAGATATCCCCTGCCTCAGAAACAAGATGGGAGAACCAACTGAAGAGAACCCATTTAAAAAAAAAAAAAATAAGAAAACCTGAAATGAGTTATGAGCAGGGGTCTTACCCACCCTCTTTAAGGATCCATCTTTATACCCATTTTATAGACAAGCCACTGAGGCTCCAGACAGTTAGCCTGGATTACTGAACACAGCAGCTGGGCACAATCGCTCACAGGCTGTCCCCAGGGACTTTGGGCCTTAGGACTTGAATGGAGAAGGCTTATTACCCACCTTTTGCAGGTGTTCCCACAGGTCCAGATAAATGGTGTTCGAGTATTGGAAGGTTTGAAGATAAGACTGTGGAGATGACAAACCTTGGTAAGGGCTGGGTGACACTCAGGGCTGTGGAGGGTTATGCTGGGGGGAAGCCACCATGCAGAGGGACCGCCTGGAGCTGTACTCACTGAAAGGCCCTTCTTGAACAGGTCCTCTGTCAGGAAGGTGGACAGCATCCTAATGACTGAGGCTCCCTAGGGTTGGAGGAGAGGGGGTTCAGCAGGCCAAGCATTCCCAGAGCAGCAGCTGTGAGAACCCCCTCTGTGGGGTGCACCCCTTCCCACCCTAACTCAGAAACCAGAAAGCACCTTGCTGTAGGTGATGGTGTCAAACAGCTCACTGATCTGGGCTGGCGTTTTGACCTCATCGGCAGGGCTGGAAAGTGGGTGGGAAGAGGCGAGCGCGTCCACGGCCATCACACGGTACACGTCATTCAGTACCATGAGGTCTTTCTGCGGAGTCCCCAGATGCCATCAGGAGATCAGAAGGGGTGTCGTAGACACTCCACTCTTCCACCTCGGCCCAACTCCCAGAATGGAGACTCACCAGATTCCAGCTGGGTTCTGCATAGTCAGCACCCAGATATTCTACATAGGAGGCAAAGCCCTCGTTCAGCCACAGGTCATTCCACCAATCCACCGTCACCAGGTTGCCGAACCACTGCAGGGGACACAGACGAGTCACTGAGCCTCATGGGCCTTGCCATCACTAATAGCATCTAACCATGTGTTGGTTGTCTACTGGCACAGGCCAGGTGAGGACTTGATACCCCAAGGCCTTTGCTACTCACCTGATGGGCCAGCTCATGAGCAATTACAGTGACCACCCGCTCCTTGTTGCTAATGGAGGAAGAATTACTGTCAAAGACCATGGAACTCTCACGGTAGGTCACTAGCCCCCAGTTCTCCATGGCTCCAGCATTGAAGTCAGGCAGGCCAATCTGGTCTGTGGAGGGGATCCAGGTGTCAATGGGAGGCGTCTGAATGGGTATCCTGGTACTACCTCCATGAAGGTCCCATGGTCACTCACCAGACTTTGGTAGCGGGTAAGATGTATTATAATGTTGGGCAAAGAAGTCTAGGATGGGGCCTGTAACATTCAGTGCATAATCACCTTGGCCCTGATCAATGGCACTGGGCCGAGCCCAGATTCGAATCTGCAGAATGAGAGGGAGGAGGTCAGGTTTAGGGTCCTCTGGGATCCTGAAGAGAATGGGTAGACTCCCAGGATACAAGGAGCTAGAGGTCCCTGATAAGTCAGGATGGAGACCAACTAGATTAAACAGAGAAAACTGAGCATGGTCACATGCCTATACACTCAGCATTTAAGAGGCCAAAGCAGGAGGGTCACAAGTTCAAGGCCAGCCTGGGCACCTTAGTGGATCGTGTCTAAAACAGAGGGGTGGATGGATGGCTCAGTGGCTATGCTGACTAATTTTATGTCGACAGGCCAGAGCCATCTGAGAGATGGAACCTCACTTGAGGAATGCTTTCAGATCTGTCTGGAGACAGGCCTGTAAAGCATTTTCTTTCTCGATGATCCATGTGGGTGGTGTGACCTCTGGGCTGGGGGTAGTACTGAGTTCTAAAGAAAGAAAGCTGAGCATTCCAGGAAGAGGAAGCCAGTAAACAGCACCCCTCCACGACCTCTGTACCAGCTCCTGCCTCCAGGTTCCAATACTGCTTGAGTTCCGGCCTGACTTCTTTCATTGATGGCTCACTATATGGAAGCATAAGCCAAATAAGCCCTTTCTTCCTCCGTTTGCTTTTGGTCCCCGTGTTTCACCACAGCAATAGTAACCCTGACCAAGACAGTGGTCAAGAGCTCTTCAGGAAGATCTGAGTTCAATTCCCAGCACTCACTGTGTGTAACAGGTAACAACTGTTTGTAACTTCAGAGGACTGGATGCCCTCTTCTGGCCTCCAAAGCATGGAAGTGGTACATGGACATCCATGTAGGCAAAACACCCACACACAGAAAACAAATTTGTTCTAAATTAAAAACTGGGCACCAGCCGGGCAGTGGTGGTGCACGCCTTAAATCCCAGCACTTGGGAGGCAGAGGCAGGCGGATTTCTGAGTTCGAGAGTTCGAGGCTAGCCTGGTCTACAGAGTGAGTTCCAGGACAGCCAGGGCTACACAGAGAAACCCTGTCTCGAAAAAAAAAAAAAAAAAAAAAAAAAAAAAAAAAAAAAAAAAAAAAAACCAACTGGGCACCAGGTGTGGTGGCACACAACTTTAACCTCAGCACTCAGGAGCAGAGGCAAGTGGATCTCTGTGAGTTTGAGGCCAGCCTGGTCTACAGAGCAAGGTTCAGGACAGACAGTTTCTCAATTCTACACCAGAGAAACCCTGCCTGGAAAACAAAAAAAACAAAAAAGTTCTTGGGATCACTCATAGCTGGGACTCAACAGCCTAATAATTCAGAAGCTAGTACTAAGAAGATCTGAGAAAGTCCCTCAAGCCAGGGCCAGGGCCGACCCGTGACATACAGCCCGTTCCATACCTGGACACCACTGGATGAGTTGGATTCTACGCATTTAAACTCGCTCACGATATAGGCCAGCAGGTACGTGGACATCTTGGGGGTGGGGTGGAACTCAGTAACGGTCCAGGAAGAGTCTTCCGGCAAGGGACTGGAACCTGGGCATGGGGCATGTAAGTGTGTGGGCTTCCTGCTCTGCACAACAGTTCGGGGCAAACCCAGGGCTACCAGACTCACCTTTGGGAAGCATGTTAGACAGAGCAGTGAGGTTGCTGGGGTGGATGAGCGTGATGTTGAACGAGGCCTTCATGGCTGGTTCATCGAAGCATGGGAAGGATTTCCGAGCGTCAGCAGCCTGCATCTGCGTTGTGGCCACCACTCTGCCCAAAGCAGTGTGTTAGAGAAGGTGCAAGGAGCTTCGTTTAAGGGTACAGAAGATGGCTGTCCAAATCTGCTTACTCCCTTTCACACAACCCCACACAGCCTCAGGATCCTGATCAACCAGCTGCCCTGGGAGACCAAAGCTTCCAGATGCCATCTAAGCCCTGGCAGGCTTCACGCTGGTGTGAGCTGAGGGGTCCCAGACAGTTTTCTCTCCTCCAAGCTTCAGTATTCCTGTCCATCCGAGGAGCTCTTCCACCCCACAACCCCGAACCCCCAGGAACTGCCTCCCCTACAGATGAGCAATGGAGCTACTGAGGTCTCCTGAAGCTTCCGGCCCCTCCCTTTCCATAAGCCCCAGATGCAGCCCGTGCCCATGACCTTTAACTTACTTCTTGTTGCCATCCTCCATGTACTCGCTGCGGTAGAAGCCAGCCAGGTCATCAGCCAGCTCCCCCTGGAACTCACTGTCCATCTCGTACTGATGGCCCTTTACCAGGGACCCCTGCAGGTGCACCACCAGGTACTCAGTACGCTCTACCAGTTCAGTTTTGCTAATGTTAGGTGCCTGAGAGTCATCCAGGGCTCGCAACACCACCATGTGGTTCCCTTTGAGGGTGTAGTTGAGCTTTTTGCTGTGGATGATGATGACGTCCGTCGTCTCATTGCAGGTAAAGCGAACAGTACTGGAACCTTTGAAGATGTACAGGCCCTGCTCGTTGGGGGTGAGGTAGGGTCTCAGGGTCACCCGGTAGGAGTCAGGTATAAGAGTCTTAGGCAAGCGATACTGGTTCCAAGGTTTGCTTTCATCTATAGCAGGGCTGGTAGTTGAGGTGGTGGCTGAGGTGGTAGTTGAGGTGGTAGTTGAGGTGGTGGTTGAGGTGCTGCCCAGGAGCGTGGGGGCTACGGCAGAGTTCTCTGAATTCCTATTCTTCTCCTGAGCATAGACCACCGACAGCGCTACGATGGTACACACAGCTGCCACGCCCAACAGGATGCCCAAGATGCCCAGGGTCTTGGAAATGTAGAAACCCTTGGCCATGATGCTGGTGGGCAGGGAGCTTGGAGTAGCTCAGGCCAACAGGAAGGCAGAGCAGCCCCGGGCCAGTTTATATCTTCACGGGGGCGGAGCCCCACTGCCTTTGGATCAGACAAATATTAACCAGAGCTCAGGCGAAGGTCACTAGGCTGGACAGGGGTATGCTCTGCCCGGGCTTTAGAGAGATCAGAAATGAAACTGTATGCAAAGCTGGCTTCGGGGGTGGGGGAGATCCCTGCTGTAACCTACACAGTGTATGGTTACCCGCTGCGGGTGGCCTGGCTGGTGGGGGGGTGGAGATCAGGTGGAGTCGGGGCTGGAGGGCAGGCTGCACGCTTGGCACCCAGAGGCAGGGGTAAGGCAGTGATCTACCTGCAAGCAGAAATGGAGAGAACAGACTCATGAGGACGGAGGCTAGACGCAGGGAAGGACTCACCAGGCTCGAAAGGTAGGGCAGGCAAAGCAGAATGAAGCCAGTTCCCAGAAGGTCATCAAAAGCGTACTGGATCCGACTTTAGACTGGGTTCCTCAACAGAAGCCAGAGGCCCCTTGGGACATTCTTCAGATTCTCCCCTTTTCCCTCCTGACCAATTTCTTTTCTCTCAGCTCTCCAAGGAAGGCTAAATGAGTCAGTCTCTCTCTCTCTCTCTCTCTCTCTCTCTCTCTCTCTCTCTCTCTCTCTCCTGTAAAGAGTTATAACAGGTGACTTTACACTCCAGAACCTTTTCCTCTCATGAGCAAATGACAGTACTTCCCATTCAGTTTCACCCAGCGGATTTAAGGGGACGCACATGAGCCGTCCCATGGTGGACACTTACAGCCAAGTCCGTCCTCCCCACAGCACAGCCCTGCCCTCGCCTCTCTGTCTGAGGTAGACATGAACACATCACTTACCAACTCCCTTACCATTCTCCCTCACCAGTCCTGCCTCCCAGACAGCCACACCAGCCGATGCTCGCCCCCATCTCCTCACAGCCTCTCTCAGACCCTACTGTATTATAAATTCCCTGCTTCCAGCAGGCCCCTTAAAACCACTCATCACAGTCGGGCCGTTACTTTCCACTGTTGCAAATCTTCCTTTTGCTACTTTCCTAAGGGAGTCACAAACGGTATACAGAAATCAGCCCACTCACTTCTCACCCTCATCCCAGGAACCTGCCCCCTGAAGCAGACACAGACACAGACAGAGTCACACACACACACACACGTGCACGCATTCAGATAGACTTGTCTTCTCTCTTACCTGATCAGCTTCTATTGATACTTTCAAGTCCTAGAGGAGCTGCCCACCCTCCCTGGCCCCTCCAGCCCAGATGCATGGTGTACCTCCTCTCCAGATCCCTATACTTCAGCATGAGTTTCTCCTCTGTGTGGTGGTAGCATGGGCTGGGGACTTCAGGCTTGTATGAATAAGACCCTGGCTATTTCTGCCCCTCAGACTTGGCTCTGTGCCAACCACCTAGTATGTATTCCATATGTATCTGTTGTGTAGATGCCCACATATGCAGCTGAGCAAGTGAACAAGTCATTCCAGAAGAAATCCCTTTTTGAAGTTCTCCAGCCCTTATCTCCACCCTGACCCTGCCTAAAGGGTATCTTAAGAGAACTACTGGCCTTCTCTGATCCCTCTTCCAGCCTATCTCATCCTCCAGGATTTCATTCATCCAGCACCCTGTCCCCTGGCCTTCAGGGAAGTGATTGAATGAGCATATGGTGGGCGAATCAGGTGTGTAGAGTTACCTTCTACTCTGGCTAGCCAGGCCAGCATCTGTGTTTGAGGTGTCTGGAACTTCTGATGGTCTACCTTTCAGGCCAAGAGTACACAGAACTCTCTGGTCTCCCCCACATTTGACAGCCGAGCCCCAGGGCCTGAATCTGGAGCCAGAGTGGACACCATTGCAGTGAACAGCAGCTGTACCTATCAGCCTGGGCTGATGGCCAAGAAGCATTAGTGGGAAACTCTGTTGGAAAGGTACATAATGATACACCAGATTGCAGCGATATGGGTTGAGGCCTCAAAGGGTTTCCCATGCTTCCTCCAACAAAGCGTCCTTGATGGTGTTAAGAAATAGCCAAGGTCTTATTCTTACAAGCCTGAAGTCCACACCCTGGGGTCCATGCCCCAACCTCATACTCCTTCATCGCATCCCAACTTGGCCTGTATGTCCCCTACCTGAACAGCAGGCAGACCCACGAGTCCATTCAATTAATCCCGTCTCCAAACAAAGAGCTAGGTTCTGCCTGGCCTTCTAGCTTCTTCCTGTTTGCTTTGGACATGGACCATGAGCCAGCTGGCTGAAATTTGGAACCCTCTGCAAAGGGCCCTGGTGTCTAGATTTGGCTTAACTCCAAGAATGGTACCAACCCAGATTAGGGGAGCGTGGGTGGACTCTGCAGTTTCTCACCTCTGGGGGACTCTAAGAAAAGTCTCTCCCTGTAGCCACTGTCTTGGCACAGGCTCTTCCACCTAGCAGGCCGTGGCAGCTTTAGGGTTCCTGTCGCCCTGCCCTGACAGTGTGCTCAGCGGGGAGGTTTTCCTGGGTATGTGGGTGAGATGGCTGTCACTGCTGTCACAGTGAGAGTGAGACTCTAGCTCAGGCCAACACCATCCCTGGGCTTGACCCTCTGGCTGCTTCTCTTTCACTTCCAGAGCCAGCTTTTCTCAGGCACCTGAGCCTCTTATCTGTGTCCTTTGTTCCTCTGGTCCTTTGGCCAGGAATACCTTTCCTCTATTTCTTGTCAAGGTCTTATTTATACTTCAAAACCCAGCTCAAACATCACAACCTTGCCATGCCACTTAATGTCACACTTCTGTGGTCTCCAGGCCTCATCTCTGTCATGTATGTCACTTGGGAAAAGGCCGTGGCTGTGGCAGCTCCCACACCAGACCCACGCAATGCAGGCAGACAGCCTGTGCTTCACCACCACAGAAATGACAAGATGACAGCTGAGGTACTCAAGGACTCAGACCCTTGCTTTGGAGACAGTTCCATCTTCCACCCTGTGCTCTGAGTCTGTGCACAGAAGCATCTTCATCATGACCTAGGACGTCACTTGCCTAATATTTTTTCTCAAAATCAATTCATGTTAATTAGCCTGATGACCAGTAAGGACCTGGATATGGTGTGTAAGTCACTTCTTTTTTTCCTGATTTAATCTCACCTCATACCACTGGTGAAAATTGTTCATCAAGGTAGCCTGAGGTCACCCTGCATAGCTGCTGCTGCTGGAGAAACTACCACACTCTCCTGCCTGATCTGGGATGTCATTGCTTCAGTGCAGGCCTTGTCTGTAGAAAGCAAGTCTCTTGCCTTCCTTCCAGTGCTTCCCGCAGTGGGATTACAAGCTCTGACCCCACCTGGCAGGTCTCAATCACCGAACCTTGTCTAGGATGGATACACACACACACACACAC